CTACAGGTTGGACGTTGCTGGTCTGGCATCCTTGGGACCTGAGCTGTCCTGAAAAAGGGATTTTGCCAGACCAGGGGAGATCAGCCTTGACCTCTGCTAGGGCTCCCCTCCTGGCCCTGGCCAGTGCACTGCACCCCACCTGCTACCAGAGCTCCACTGCCCCCAGGCCACTGGCAACCTCTACGGCTGGGGCTCTCTAGCACAGCCAGACCACAGGTGTGGCTGGACCAGGGAGAGTCCCGGACCACAGAGGTTCAGCCTGTAGTCAGAGACCAGGACTTTTATTCATAGAACACAGCGGAGCAGTTTGTTTCACTTGGGTGTGGTCGGAATCAGGGCCCATGGTTGCTCCGTATTGGAGGGGTGCTCAAGTCTGCACATCCATTGACCCCCCCACACCAACTTTGCCTTTCCAAAGCAGTAGCCTCCCTGCTTCCTGGCCTCCACAGCTGGCAGCATCTGCACAGACACGAGCGCCATCTCCCTCGGAAGGCAGCAGGCAAAGAGATTACTGCAGAGTTCAGCTAGGGAGACCTGGCTTAGTGAGTGCTGGGGAGGGGGGTGTCCATAGATGCAGCAATGTTCTGCATCCCGGAGAGCTCCCAGCTGGATAGTAGCTCACCTGATTTGCAGGTGTGTCCTGGAGGTGTTCAGCCCACAGCGGAAGGTTATGGCTCTGCCTTTGGAGAGGTACTTGGTGTGAATGTGGGGGGGCTGCACTCGTACAGAGGGGGAGGCAGCAGGGAACTCTGAAAGACACACAGAGCAGTGATGCCAAGCCAAGCGGCCATGGCTCCCTTCTGCATGCTGCAGCAGCCTAATAAAGGAGGGAGGGGCATGGGAGGTGCTAGGTGGCATTTGCTTTGCAGGGGGGAGCTGGTTTCTGTAGCCCACAGCACCAGCAGGGGAGGAGTTCTCTTACCGGAGCAGGAGTTGCAGATTTGGGGGCAATGCCTCTTCATGAAGGCGCACCGGCGCGTGCAGAACCCCTGCCGGGCCCAAGGCTCACACTGCCGCTTCTCATCCACGCAGCCTGCAGGGACAACGCTCGGAGATGGGCATTGCAGAATAGCCACTTCCTCCCACGGGACTTGCCTTTGGTGCAGAAGCAGCCGAGGAATTTGGAATGGAAGAGCCCAGACAGGGTTGGACAGGATTGTCCCAAGCCAGGATGGGAGCCCAGTATCTCCAGCTGCCTCTCTCAGACCTTGTCCCAGGCTTTGGCCTGCACCACCCTGTGCTCACGGCCATCCATGGGTTCAGGCCCCATGACAACTGACGGGGCAGGAGCATGCGGGAAGACGGTGATTTCCGGGCGCTTGCTAAGGAACCAGGGCTACTCTGGCCAAAGATGAGCCAAGGCAGCTCTGCATTCTGGGCTCCCGGCCAGATGCAGCTGGGCCAACAAAGGACTGCGCAGGACAAGGATTCAGCAGAGGGAGCCCTTAGGGGACAGTCCTCTCTTCTGGGGCCAGGCGGCGACTAGACACTGGGCACACATCAGTGCTGGTGCTCCTTGGCATCTCCTTGCCGTACAGCCGCCGAACGGCCCAGGCGTCATCCTGGCCAATGCGCCACGTCCTGCTGTAGGTCGCGTTGGGGTGCATGAGCGCACGGACATCCTGCGAATGCCACAGGCCCAGGGCATGGCCGATCTCGTGAGCCACCACCTGGACCAGGTCATTCAGCCAGACTCCTAATAAGCACAAAGCACCCGAGGGAGCCAGGACATGCCGGAGAGCCTGCCCTGGCAGCTCCCAGCACGGAGCCAAACCCAGCCATCGCGGGGCAGGCAGAGGGCACTGGAGCATTGCTCCTGACCTAGCCCAGCCTGGCTTCTCCCTACCCAACTGCAAGCATCCTTACTTGCCGGACACCTGGCAACCCTAGTCATCTCAGGGCACAGGTTCATGCCGCTGGGACTCCCTTGAATGGAACGGGGAGGAGCATGACTGAGCTGGAATCTCGCCCCCTGCACTAGAGCTGCAACGAGCTAGGCAAACAGTCATTTCCTCCTGGCCTGGCCTAGGCAGGGCATGCCGGGCTCCACTGGCAGGGCC